CCTCCCCAAGTCCACTGATAGGGGAGGTCCTCTTCTCCTTCCTTCTGATCTTAGTCTATCAGATCACATCAGGAGTGACTGCATTGTCATCTTCTGTGGCCTGATAAGGCTGCTCCCCTCTCAGGGGAGGTGATCAAAGAGCAGGCCAATCAGATTATGTCAGAGGCAGTCCCTCTTCCCATTACTATGTAACCCACTTGGACACAAAACTGCTGTGGACTACATCTGTGCAGGGGTTCTAGGTTATCTCCATGAATAGTCCTTGGTTGGAGTATGAATCTCTGGGATGTTCCTTGTGTTCAAATTTTCTGGTTCTGTTGCTCTCCTTGTGTGGTTCCCGTCCTCTCCAGCTCTTAATATTTCCTACTTCTTACATAAGATTCCATGCACTCTGCCCAACAGTTGGCCATAAGTCTCAGTGTCTGCTTTGATAGTCTGCAGGGCAGAGGCTTTCGGAGGCCCTCTGTGGCAGGTTCCTAGGTTGTTTCCTGTTTTCTTCTTCTTCTGATGTCCAACCCCTTTGCCTTTCAGGATGGGGACTGAGCATTTTAGTCAGGGTCCTCTCTCTTGATTAGTTTCTTTAGATGTACAGTTTTTAGGAGGTTTATCCTATGTTATATATCTATATGAGTGAGTATATACCATGTGTGTCTTTCTGCTGGATTTTTTTTTTTTTTTGTCAAAGTGAAATAGAGCTGGAAAAACAAAACCAAAGACCACAAAACAGCTGACCAACCCCAAACACCACCTGGATCATCAGAACTGCCACTTGGAGCATTCAAGTTTAGGCATCTGTTGGACATTGTTGCTCTAAATTCCCAAGAGGAAGTGGAATTTAGATGTAATTTTGTTTACTAGTGGCTGTGCCCTGGTAGCATAATGAGAGTGTTTTACACCTGTCTAACCCTCACCGATTCAAGCTGCTTCATTATTGCCTTGGAGGGAAAAGCCAAAGGTGTATGCTACATCAGTCTGTAAAGGTGGCTCTCTGCTCTTTCCATAGCACCCTGCATGGGGTCTCCATCAGCAAAAGGTTGCATGCTCTCTACTTCAAAGTGCTCTAGGAACACTGTGCTTCTTAGATGGCCAAGTGAAACCTTTTTAGTTGTTTCTTCACCACAAGCAAATACTCTGAGGCTTTCTGGCAACAAAATAGGTATGACCTTCCACCCAAGAGACTAAAGTGGCATGAGCCACTGTACACATTTCAACAAGGCTGCCTCTGGTGTAAGGAAGAAGCGACAATTATGGCAATGCAGACACATGACAGGTTTGACATGTGATTAGATCTGGGATGTCTGTGGCATGGGAGAAGGCTCATAAGTGTTAGAAGTATAAAACAGAGACCTAAGCATGCAATAGATCCCTGAAAGGTGGGAGTGGCATATCTTTGGACTTCCAGGAGTGCTCATTCTGGACTATCATGGCACCTGCAGCAGACTGTGTAAGAACACGTGATCACCCTGTGACATCATGGCCTCGAGTTGCCAGTGAAAAAACAGTACTAATTTTAGCAAAAAGCCATTAAAGCTTTATACCTCTCCTTCCCTTTTCTTAGTCTGATGTGTTGGCTCCCTTTGGGGGGCCACTTTTGGCTAGGAAACGGTCTATTTTATCACTTCATAAAAATGACTGCATAAGTGACATGAACAGAAATCATCAACTCCAGTGAGAGCAATGGCTGGGCAGCCAGCTAAGGTCTACCACAGGGCAGCATTCTGAATTTTTGCCTCAGCAGGACATCAAGTTACTACATGGCCTGGGTGTTGAGGCTTGCTTTTAGAAGAGGAAACGAAGGATGAGGAAGCACTGAATCCTAGGTGTCTGCTCTGTGTAGGAGAGTCCTGTCTGTACAACTGACAAAACCAAAAAAGAAACAGCGAATGCAGTAACAATGCTCATTCTGGCCACTGGGGAACGTAAATGAATTCTATTATTTTCATTAAATGTTTTAAAATGAACGTTGAGAAGCAGAGAAAGTGATAAAACCAGAAATCCTTTTGAAGAGAATAGGCCAGATGCTCACTGTCTGTTCAGGATCATCTGTAGCCATGGCAGCTGGCTGGTGTGATGTCATGAAGAATATAAGAACAAGAAACAAGAGAAGGGAGGAAAAGCTAAACAGGAGATGGGAAGGCAGACAGGGAAAAGAAGGGAGGACTCCCACAACTGGACAAATGGTAAGTAGTGAGGCGTTACTGAGGGAAAAGCCGAGGCTTGGAAGTTATTAACTTAAAGTTGAAAGATTATTTAGAGTCATTACTAAATATTGTGTGTGGTTCAAGCATGTGTGCGTGTGTGTGTGTCCAGGTGCTGTTATAGTAGGGAATATCAAAGGACCACATTGCCCTTCTATGGAGACCACTACTTAGTCTTTTAAGGCAGAGCATCTCACCAGATCTGGAGCTAGGCTAGAGGCCAGCCAGCCCCAGGGGTCCTTCTGTCTCCACTGTGCTAGCTCTGGAGTGACAGGCATCTGTGGCCTTGCATAGTTTTGTATTTGGATGCCAGGGCTTCATGTTTAGGCAGTGAGCTCTGTCACCTACCTGAGCCATCTCTGTAACCCCTAGTGTCATTTTTGCTGTTCATGGCACATCTCTCTCTTGAAAGGGAACAAGACTTGAACTCATTATCTGATATGATTTTACTTCTATTTTATATAATGAGCCCCAGATCCTAGGGTTTACAGGAAAGACAGGAGATCTAAGTGACTATATATAATGATATTTTATATAACAATATGGGAATTAAAAATGTGTGATTTTATACTAAGAATGCCTTTGTTTTTGCTCTTTGAGAATTTCTGATTTTGGACAGAAAGGTGTTGTTTTAATGTCATTGTACCCCTTTTCACTTAATATGACACCATTAAATCTTTAAAAGTGAGAAATCAGTTGCTCAGTGACTTGATTCCATCATCCAACGAGAGAACCTCATCTTAGAAAGGCAGATAGGCCCTGAGCCAAGCCTTTCTGGGGTCCTCATGGAGCGCAGAAGGTAATGCCATGAACTCCACAGGAAGCCTGGAACACCTTAAGCTGAGCTCTACACTCCTCTTCCCCAGGCTGGCTTCCCTCAAGCATCTCCTACTGCTAAGTCTTAATTTTTACAGCTTTCTCTAATTAGATCTTCAATAAAAAAAATAGTTTTCTAGCTTCCAACTTCTTTTTTTCTTTTCTTTCTTCTTTTTTTAATAGCCACCTGTCCCAACATTTATGCATGTGCTATATTAGACAGTTTAAAATAACACAGGGTATAGACTGAACAGGCACTCTTCTTTCAACCTAACTTTTTTTTTGTCATTGGATAATAAGAAATGGGCCAAAAATGTTATTCCCACAGAGAAGGGTGGGTAAAAACCAGAGACTAGAAACAAAGGCTAAATTTTTCTCATTACAAACATTTTCTTCAAATTGATAACAACGGTGCTTTCATTCCAAACCCTCATTCATGGCCATGTCGTCCTGTAGGCAGCTTTTCCCAAGTGAGGAAAAGCTGAATGGAACTGTGGGGAAATGAATCTCTCTCTCCTAGAAGCACGCATATAAAATTTCACAGACATGTATATGTGAGATTTTCAGTCTCCCTGTGACTAAGTTGGAAATAATGAATAGTCATCTGAATTAAGGCAAATATGCCTTTTCCTGTTATAGGTATGGATAAAAATTTATAAATAGTGTAATTTTAAAATCAGACTCAATTGAATTGGTTATAATTATCATAGTTAAAAATACTTCAGTTACTCACTATTTCTCAAAACTTAACACCTTATTTAGTATTATTTCACACCCATCTTTTAGTATTCTGATATAAACAGGAAGCTAAATTAAACTAAAATTTAAAGCTATAAGCTATCTATTCTTTTTGTTCCTTCAATGAGTTTACTTTTATGAGGTATGTATATGATTTGTAAACACTAATTATTAATAGCAACTTCAAATTACATGTGTAATTTAGAATTTATGACATAAGCTCGAAGGAGCACGAACATACATACTTCAAAATGTCAAGAATAGAAAAAAAACTTTGCATCACTCCAAATGTACAGATAGAATGTTCTCCACCTATAACACCCGTGTAACAGCCTTTTTCTTTTTCTTTCATGCATATATAATTAGCAAACTATGATTTGAAATATAACAGATATCATTTATAAATAAGAAAGGATGTTTTGGCTATTGGCATTTGTGACTGATGATTGCTGTTGTGGAGAAGGGTTCTCTTAGATCCTCTCTATAAGTTGCAGATGAGTAAGCTGCAACTAGCAAGAATCACTCACCAGTGTTTAAAGAGCTAAGCAAAGGCACCCCACGAGCACCTTCTCCACCTGCATGTCCACAATTACTCATCATCTAGACATTTCATTACCTCCCCTGATTCCTGATCTTGCGATTAATCAGGGAGCCAATTATGGTTTATCCAAAACAAACACCAGTGTGTGAAGGTGTAAAAGGTTTAAATCCTTAGATCTTCTAATTAAAAAGATCCTCAAGAAAATTTCACTTGGAAATAAGCCCTGGCTTCTATTTAGCAAAGGCCGAGTTTGTTTAAAGGTAGCAAAACTGTCTTGAGGCTGGTTATGGCCCTAATTAATTGTGTGAATTGATTATGCCTTCTGTGAACACATCCCTGATCAGAGACAGGGAAAAGAAGAGGAAGAATTGTGAGGCAATAAGTCATCAAACTGGCTATGACACCAAGAGGATCACTGGGCAGGACTTTGTCAAAGAGAGAAATAAGATGTCAGGATGTGAAAACAATCAAAGGAGAAAGAGTGTTCTTCATTTTGAAGAACACGTTACAGAAAGAAAGTCCATAAGCCCTGAGGTAGCATTGCAAGAGCTAGGAGTGTGGGTACCATTAAAGTACACGTACAGGCGGTGGGGACACTGGACATCAATCTGTCATTTATTTGTAAGTTAAACATTCACTTTCCTCTTAGAAGTTAAATGGGAATCTGATTTCTGTTTCTGCTAAACAAACTGGTAAACTGGACTGACCTGGCTGGACAAGGATCCAAGTTGCACTCCTGAAGCTTGGGTTTGGGCTTGATATTCTCCGGGTAGTAGTGACAGTACTGGTCGGCGACTACACGGCTGCTCCGGAGATCGTAGCACTCAGCAGACGTCAGCTGGTAACCTGTGAATAGCAAACCAGCCAGGCTGCTCAAAGCACATGTCAGCACAGCATACTTCTGTATGACTCTTGGCTATCTCCCACTAGTGGAAATTATTCCCAATGCCTAAGCCTTTTCCAAGAGAAAACAAATATATAATTGGAAGGCTCATTAATGTTGTAGGACTCAAACACCACATTTTTCTTGAGTAATCGCTCATTTTAAATACTCAGTTATATTACAGGGCTTGAGTTATATAAGACCATAGTCAGATTATAAAACTCTGTGGTAAGAAATATTGTTTGTTTATTTTATATAATATAAAAATATAACAGAAATAAAAACACCAGTATGTTCTTTTAACCAAGCCTGTTATATGAGGATGCTAAATTATCTCTGCATCTCTGTGGCCTCCAGGAAGAATAAGTTCACAAATTACTAATAAAGTAAGCAAAAAGTGACTAAATAAAAACAAAAATAAATCTCAGTGTTCCCTCTTTGAACAGTGGAGATTTATGAATCCAGTCCCACCTGAATCAGGTATTGCTGAGATGCCTAAATACAATCTGAATGAGTTAAACTGAGTAAATGGATAAAGTCTCCATAGCAGCTACCCGGGATCCAAGTTTCTTGCAGAATTAAACAACAACAAAATCAAACACAACAACAACAAAAAAATGAAAATAAAAAATCAAAATGAAAAGTCTTCCTGAGTCCTCCTTACTACTTAACTTTTACTTTCTCCGAAATACTTTGCCTTTCCTCCTCAAATTAAGTATATGGCTCATATTTTGTAGACTTCCTTTTCCACTGTTTTGATAAATCTCTCTGAAAAGTCACCGAGTAATACTTAATTGTATTTATAATGTGTTTGATCTTTTTCACCTGTTTTGTGATGTTATGGAAAGTAGTGACCAACACGTATCAGACTCTTGGAGTGAAAACAAATAAACATCAAAAATTTTAAAATATTGCATCTCTCTATTCCAGAGCCCTCCCTCCCCCAATATTCTTCCTGGCAGGTTGATGAGTTATTACTAAATATGTATTCGGAAACAAGATTGAAATCATTGAGGGACTTGCAAAGGTTTTAGAAAGTCAGAAGGAGGCTTTTGATGCCAGATTTCCTGGCTTGAGGCTATGTTCTCAGACCACCCACAAAAAGTTAATTGTTCATTAAAGGCCTAAAAAAAGACCTTTAAAAATTCTACTGGGAAGATGAAAAGCACAGAGAGAAGCAAAAACAGTGGGCAGGAACACACATCCATCGAATGTTTGGCTTTGCAGAAAAGCTAAGTAACAAAATGACATTTTAGAGAAGTCAACATACTTTGATTTTTCGTCTCCATCATCCTCCAAAGCAGCTAAGGTTAGAAGCCAAACACTTAGGAGTTTTGCAGAGAATAGTTTCTACTCAAGGACAGAATTTATCAGGTGGTGAAACAAGGGAAGACAATGAATTATTAGGCTGAGACTGTGGTGTTTGAAAACCATCATTCCTCTACCTAACCCCAGTTCTTTGGAGCTCATACATACAGTGTGACTTAAAAACATAGAATGAAAGTACAGGACCAGCGTGGTCAAATGACACTGTCCTCTGAGGCTTCCCAAGGAGTTCTTGAAGAGCATTCTTTACACCTGGTGAAGTGGCCCGCCAATGGAATCTGACAGCAGGAACACACACACGAGGAGCCATAGCTTATTTCTCCCAGAATTTCAGACTGCTCCATGAGGTGAAAGGAAGACCCTGGACCCATCATACTTCCCAGGCCATTTTTGCTTCTACTTGGGCCTCCTGATAAGCTTTCCTATGAACAGAGACTTGACACTGGAAAATCATAGCTAGCTCTATTCTTACGTGTGAGTAAAATGAAACCCAGTGTGGCTGGAAACAGATGAATGTAACACTATTTGCTTTATTTAATAGTAAGCCATTGTCAAGGTTGCTGAAATTATATTGTCACAGCAATTCAATGTGAAAATGACACAGGGTGCATACAATTGAATTGCTGTTTTATAAAAGGTATGGTTTACATTTAAAAAGAAAAAAAATATTACATTAGATGACCTTTCCTTTAAGCTTGTTTTCTCTATGACTCATTCATAGATGTGCAGAAATTTATTCGCATGAAACACCATCATAGTTGAGAGTTCTTTTCCTCTTTCTTTCCTCCCTCTCTCTTTGTGTGTGTGTGTGTGTGTGTGTGTGTGTGCAGCATGCATATGTGTGCATGTGGTAGCCCCAGGTTGATAACTGGAACCGTCCTCAATTGCTCCTCTCTCAGATCCTTCACAAGATTTCTCAACCAACCCCAGATCTTGCTACTGTAGATAGCCAGTTTTCTCAGAGGATTCCCCTGACTCTGCCTTTTGAGGCTGGAATTAAAGGTAGGCAGCTACATCTACTCAATATTTACCTAGATTCTGGGCATCTGAACTCTGGTTATCAATTTCATGGCAAGCTCTTTGACTGTTGAGCCATCTCCTCAACCTGGCAGTTTTTTTTTTTAAGTAATTTTCTATTCAGGTCAGCTAGATCAACTATAGAAATACTACTGTATTGAAATGCAAACACACTTGATGGCAATTTGACTTATTATTTTTAAGTTAAAATCTATGCTGATTAGGTAAGGCTGCTCCCCCCTCAGGGTGAGGTGATCAAAGAGCAGGCCAATCAGTTCACATCAGAAGCAGTTCCTGTTCCCATTACTATGGAACCCACTTGGACACTGAACTGCCATGGGCTACATCTGTGCTGGGGTTCTAGGTTATCTCCATGCATGGTACTTGATTGGAGTATCAGTCTCAGGAAAGACCCCTCTCCCCCTAAGGGGGGAGCAGCCTTACCAGGTCACAGAGGAAGACAATGCAGCCACTCCTGACGAGACCTAACAGACTAGGATCAGAAGGAAGAAAAAGAAACCCTCCCCTACCAGTGGACTTGGGGAGGGGCATGCGTGGAGAAGGGGGAAGGGAGGGACTGGGAAGGGAGGAGGGAGGGAACTAGAGGGGGGATACAAAGTAAATAAAGTGTAATTAAAAAAAATAAAAATTAAAAAAAAGAAAAGAAAAAAATCTATGCTGATTAGTTTTTTTTTTTTTTTTTTTTTTTTTTTTTTCATCTGGGCATAAGCTAGGGCCAGTTAGGAAGAGGGAACCTCCGTGAGAATATACACCCACCATATTTGCCTATAGGAACTTCTGTGGGGCACTTTCTTGATTAATGATGGCTATGAGGTGGCCCGGTGTGCTATGGGTGGTGTACCCTGGACAAGAAGATAAGAACGCAGACTGAGCAAGCCATGGGTGCGAGCCAGTAAGCAATGTTTCTGTAAGAGCTCTGCTTTGGCTTCTACCTCCAGGTTCCTGCCTTGAGTTCCTGCCCTGACTCTTTTTGATGAGGGACTGTGATGGAGAAATGTTAAGCCAAATAAACTCTTTCCTCCTCTAGTTGCTTTTGGTCATGGTGTTTCATCACAGCAATAAAAACCCTAACTAACACAAAATACAACACTGCTTTTAGAACCATGTCTATTATTTTGCTTATATTATATAGATAGAGATAACATAGCTTTTAGTGAATTCTGTCATATATTGTTAATGTTTAAAAATGCAATCATTTGCACGAATTTTGAGGTACTATGATTTTAACTATTGTGGATAATTCCAGTGTGTGTGAACTATTTAAAGTTAGTCAATCAGCTTCCATGAAACTAGAGAAAGAATGTGTCAGTTGTACTAATTTTCAACAGACTATATATATAATTTTGAACCTATTAAGATAGGAAACAAAAAAATAACCCACAAATGTTGACAATCTAAAGTATTCACACATTTAATTTTCTGGAAAGATTTTGGTAATACATGCATCTACAAAAATTCCCAAACTCCTTTATCTAGTAAGCATACTGTTGAGCATTCATGCCAAGAGACATTGTGAAGGGATAAAAACATTTGAGCACTAATGTTGTTTATTAGATTACAATAGTATAAACTTTAAAAGAACCAAGTGACCTCCTACAAGGAAATGATCAAATTATTAAAAAAAACATTAAAGGAATTTTGACATACCTACTAAAATGATAAAAAACAGAAAATAGGAAGAAAACCTTTTTCCAGTAACGCAAGGCACTGTGTGACGTGGTCGTGACAGCACAGGGTCAGGAATTCACTTTGTGAATTTCCAGGAGAAATGCACTACAATGACTATATGGAGTGAATTCATGTCTTCCACTGTGCGGCGGTGGGTGGAGGCAAAAAAAAAAAAAAAAAAAAAAAAAACTAGTTCAAGCCAACAATGAAGTGAACTGTTTTCTGGTCATTAACTTTCTCTAACAGAGCAAGCCTGACAAACATCATCACTTGCTTCCTGAAGAAGTGACATCACTTCTGCCAGACGAATCTAGGCTTAGGTGAAAGCAAGCCCCACAGGGTAAAGCTGCTGTTGAATATAACATTATAGACCAAGCTTTCGGTGATGCCAAAGAAAGAGGTGCTTGCTATGAGCATCCACAAAGGAAAGGCTTCCTGGGGGTCACCTTGGGTAGCTTAGGAATTGGATTCTTCCATGCTGAGGTCTCTCTACTCTTACAACACCCAGCTTTTTCCTCACAAAGGACTGGGCCATCGAGGATAAGCGAGTACTGTTACCTCCTCCACAAGTTGCTGAGCAAGGGAAGAAGTCCGTTTCCCTCCATCGGTGGATGATAGGCTGGTAGAAGGTGAACTGGACAGTGCTGTCCGCAGGCCCCAGGTCATGGATCTGCAGGAACAAAACAGGAAAGTTGGGCATATGACAGAAGCAGGGCTGGCTGTTGGGTCTCTGATAACCTTGGCTCAGAATTCATCATATGCAGAGGTCTTGGATATGTGAGGACAAAGGCACTGCCACTTACCCCATTATGTACTAGAGAATGGTCCTCACCATATTTTTTTTTTATCATCCTTACCTCCACAAATGGATGGCTTAGAAGTATGGAGAAATCTCCGTTTGTGACTCCACTACAGTTTCCTTCCCGCTCTTATTTCTACTCCTCCTGGTATAGGCTATAGAATTATGTGACCTTTTAAATTTTCATTCAGAAATAAACAATGCAGTCAGGCATGGTGGTGGGAGACAGAGGCAAGAGGATCTCTGTGAGTTCAAGGCCAGCCTGGTGTATATATTGAGTTCCTGGAGAGTTAGGGATGTCCAGAGAGACCCAGTCTCAAAAACAAGAAAAACAAAACAAAAATGGAAACAGGCAATTTATTTTAAGGAAATCATAAATGCCATACACTATAGAAAAGAAAGGATATTATCTGTAGTTGAGAAAGAGAAAAATTTCAAGAATTAAGATGTTTTTCCCATTTAGGGACATACATGGGTCTTGCTGTCACTGTGGTGATTCATGTATCTGGATGTGCTAAGTCACCAGTTGGAAGCTACTTAAGTGCACATTCTTGGGCCCAAGCCCAGAGATCTGGGCAATTCTAATGTAGATATTACAGAATACCAAATGTCAAGATACCAAGTTATAAAAGCAACTACTTTCAAATAAAACTGGTGCTTATGGAAATTAAAACTTGTTTGTAAAAGAGGGAATATGAGACAGTAAATTTTTAATGGTTCCTAAAATTACAAGGTTGAGCAAACATACTTAAACTACAAGAGAAGAAAAAGTGCCTAACACGAACAATGAATTTCACGAGGACTGGATGATGTGACAGTCAATATTTATACTGCTGGGCCGCTTGGCCTATTTATTATATTAAGAGAGGTTCTTGGAATAATGACAGAATTACTTCTCACTCCAGTTTTATATTGTGATAATTAGAAAAGTATCAGAGTCCAGTTGAATCACATGGCCTAAAACTTTGTCAAGTGTTCGTAAGTCTTCCTAACGTCCAAACTGCTGCCCTTTGTTTAGGGTAAATGAATGGAGGTGGACTTCAGGTTTTAATAAAGACAGCCATATTTCTCTGCTGCCAATCTCAGTAAGTAGCCCCAATACCTAGAACTAAGGAGAAATAGGAAGAGTGGCTAAGAAGGAGTATGATAACCTGTGAGTGCCAAACTCTACACTGACTTTGGCGTTTATATGAGCAGATGGAACTGTTCCTCTAGAGAGTATGGGAGGACCAGAGAGGAGAAAGAGAGAAGGGTCAGGAGCCTACAGATGGGCTCATTCGGCACCAGGACTCTGATGAATGGACCGTTTTAGGGCCTTTCTAATTGGAGCAAATATTGAGACACACATCTTTCAAAATGAAAGCAGCAGGTGTAGTAAGTGCTTTTACCAAAGGACATTCGTGACCTGTGTATTCACCAGTGAATTACCTGGACATCAATCTTCCATGGTCCCACTTATCAGACACATGATAACTAACTGCTGGCTTAGGGATCCAGCATTCACGTCATCATTTGGTAAGCATTTGTTTGTTAACTCCACCATCCCTTTGGTTCCTTCAGAGATGTGGTTCTCTGGCGGGAAGCCCTCTGGAAATCAATGTGGCACTTTCTCAGACAACTAGGAATAGTGCTTCCTCAAGATCCAGCCATACCACTCCTAGGCATATATCCAAAAGAGGCTCAGGTACACAATAAGGACATTTGCTCAACCATGTTTGTAGCAGCTTTATTTGTAATAGCCAGAAGCTGGAAACAACCCAGATGCCCCTCAACTGAGGCATGGATACGAAATTGTGGTACATCTACACAATGGAGTATTACTCAGCAATGAAAAATAAGGAAATCATGAAATTTGCAGATAAATGGTAGGAATTGGAAAAGATCATCCTGAGTGAGGTATCCCAGAAGCAGAAAGACACACAGGGTATTGATGACAACTGGGAAAGGATCTTCACCAATCCTATATCTGATAGAGGGCTGATATCCAGAATATATAACGAACTAAAGAAATTAAAAAGCAATAAATCAAGCAATCCAATTAAAAAATGGGGTATAGAGCTAAACAGAGAATTCTCTGTAGAGGAATATAGAATGGCAGAGAAACACCTAAAGAGATGCTCAACATCCTTAGCCATCAGAGAGATGCAAATTAAAATGACCCTGAGATTTCACCTTACACCCATCAGAATGGTAAAGGTTAAAAACTCAAGTGACAACACATGCTGGAGAGGTTGTGGAGAAAGGGGAACCTTCCTCCATTGCTGGTGGGACTGTAAACTTGTACAACCACTTTGGAAATTAATCTGGTGCTTTCTCAGACAATTAGGAATAGTGTTCTTCAAGATTCAGCTATACCACTCCTAGGCATATATCCAAAAGAGGCTCAAGTACACAACAAGGACATTTGCTCAACCATGTTTGTAGCAGCTTTATTCATAATAGCCAGAACCTGGAAACAACCCAGATGTCCATCAACAGAGGAATGGATACAGAAATTGTGGTATATTTACACAATGGGATACGACTCAGCAATTAAAAACAAGGAAATCATGAAATTTGCAGGCAAATGGTGGGATTTAGAAAAGATCATCCTGAGTGAAGTATCCCAGGAGCAGAAAGACACTCATGGTATATACTCACTTATATAGACCTATAAGATAGGATAAACATACTAAAATATGTGCACCTAAAGAAGATAAACAAGAAAGAGGACCCGGAGTAAGATGATCAAGCCTCACTTAGACAAACGGGATGGACAGGGGATGGAGGGGAAAACAAGTAACAAGGACAGAAGCCTATCACAGAGTGCCTCTGAAAGACTCTACCTAGCAGTGTATCAAAGCAGATGCGGAGACTCATAACCAAACCTTGGGTGGAGTACAGAGAATCATATGAAAGAAGGGGGAGTTAGTATGACCGAGAGAGGACAGGAGCTCCACAAGGACAGAGTATATCAGGGCACGGGAGTTCTCTATGAGACTGTTTCTCCAAACAAGGACCATGTACAGATATAACCTAGAACTCCTGAACAGATGTAGCCCATGACAGTTCAGTGTCCAAGTGGGTTCCATAGTAATGGGAACAGGGACTATCTCTGACATGAACTGATTGGCCTGCTCTTTTGTCACCTTCCCCTGAGGGGGAAGCATCCTTACCAGGCCAAAGAGGAAGACAATGTAGCCACTCCTGATGAGACCTAATAGACCAGGATCAGAAGGAAGGAAAGGAAGACCTCTATTAGTGGAAATCCTATCAGTGGACTTGGGGAGGGGCATGCGTGAAGAAGGGGGAGGGAGGGATTGGAATGGGAGGAGGGAGGAAACTACAGGAGGGATACAAAGTGAATAAAGTGTAATTAATAAAAAATAATAAAAAAGAAAAAATATACAAAGCATATATATAAAGGTGGACTCTCGCTTGAACCCAATACCCCTGAAAAGTGGGGAAAATAATTCGAGAGGTTTTTCTATTTCATTCTCTCCTTACATGGTATATAAGGTTTATGATGTGTTTCCACCAACTGTAACCTAGGTGGAGTCACAAGGGCACCTGTGGGTCCCAAAGTGCGTTTATCAAGGCAGTTGACACTGCGGGTACAGCTCACAGACACACAGCAACAACCCACCCAGGGCTCTCTTACTCTTCTGCCCCCAGCAGAGCAGCTGCCGTTGTGGCGGCCATGACAGTCAGCACCCTACTTCCCACGTATTTTGCTGGATTCTTTTTGCTGGAGACCCGGGCAGACAATGGCGGGGGTAGGGGTGGGGGCGGGGGTGGGGATCATAAAAAAGAGAAGGCAAAAAGATGGAGCAAGTCCTTTTACAGGCTCGCTGGAAGCCACCAATTAAACTCTCTGTAGCCTGTGAGGAGGGAATGGATGACAAGAATGTTTTTTGGTGTTAAGGGGGGAGAGCTGGCAGACACAGCAGGTTGTTGTCAGGTGTGGGTCCACGGAGATTCTAAAGAGTGAGTACAGGCTCTGAGGCTTAGAACTTACATCCAAAGAGATCAGAAATGAAAAGGAGCCTCTTCAAATAGACAAAGTGAATCATGAGAATGAAGATCTCTTGCTTCATAACCTTGTTTGGGTCTGTCCATATGCGAAACATTTCTGCTTTTCCTTTCTCCATAGTCATGTTTCCTGATTAACAATGACAGCAATGGTCACCATAGCACTACATTCGTGCTAAGGCTGAGGTATATTTTACTTACATTATATTGGATCTTAAGACTGTGATGATCTGTGATGATCTTCCACATTTACTTTTTTTGTTTGTCTGTTTTTGTTTTTTGAGACAGGATTTGTGTGTGTGTGTGTGTGTGTGTGTGTGTGTGTGTGTGTGGCGCCATGGCTGTCCTGAACTCACTGTGTAGACCTGGCTGGCCTCAAACTCACAGAAATTCTCTTGCCTCTGCTTTCTGGGTGCTGGGATTAAACACATGGGCCACCACCACCGCCCTGTCACATTTAAATCACAATGAGAAAAAAATGATGCAGAGAGGCTCAGTGATTTGTTCAAGCTGCACAGCTAAGAGAGAGCGATGTAGAATTTGGATTGAAGTTTGTGTATCTCTAAAGATAATATTCTTTTGTTATGGTACCACCGACATCCACAGTGGTGCCATGATGAAATGTGAATTTACCCTTTTTTTTTTCGTATCCTCATTCCCATCATCATGTCTCCTTCAATTTTCATTTTAAAGCAGAGACAAGTGCTTCAAATAAAGATAAGGCCGACATGACGCGTATCTTTGGTGGTCTAACAGTTGCTCATGGAGCTAGGCCAGCCATCGTTGTGTGTTCTGGTTCTCTTCATTCTGGGCTGCTCAGTCCTTGTTATCATTAAGCTCTGCAGTCCCACGAACTCTAA